TATTTATATGCCCATTTGACCTGTTTCTATTTAGACAACTGAATGTGTGCAATGAGAATTTTGGGCATACTTCTGTGTCCACGTAGGTTTAGTGTTTCAATTATATACAGTATATACATTAGTGGTACACAAATCATGGGGATTATGGAATTTCACATGGTTCATTAATATTCATGAGGAAAGGTAATCGCCACAACCTGGAATTTCTGACTAGGGCTAGAAATACAGTACACCATTTAGGAGTCCAGACAATGGCTGCTCCCGAGCAACTGGCCACTTTGGAGAAGTAACATACAATTACAGGGTAGACCTACCTACCTCTCCTAACAGAAATCTTTTACTTAGCTAACTTCTTTGGCAAAGGTAGCAGAAATAAATGAGTGTTACCAAATGTCTATGGCAGAGTGACTGTTACAAGCCAAGCTACATGATTAATAGTTAGGCTATGAATTAAGCCCAGTGTGCATCCTTTTCCATATACTGCCATATGAAAATTAAAGCTATAGCTCCACAGCACCCTTCATCAGCATCCGGTGTTGCGTGCTTGTGGACACATGCACAACTGTGGCTATGCTGAAAAAATTTCCAGGAGAAACACTGTTGGTTTACTCAAAGTCTTAAATTTCTTTTTAAACCACATTTTTTAGGGGAATATTTTTATGCATCAATCTTTTTTTTTTTTTTTACCTTTTTGCATTTTTCAGGGTCACAGGAGTCTTACACAGAATGCCCTATTCAACCTGAACAATAAACTATTCAGTACTATAAAGCATACACTACACACTGTACATACACTACTGTAAGTGATGTACTGTTCATTTTTGTACTAACATTAAAGAGCCCAACAACATTAACCAACATTTAAGAGCATGCTTTTCTGTATTTTCTGACTTACCTGCAATGTTACAATAATGAATTATCTTAAACATGGCTAAAAGCTCAAAAAATGAGGTGTATCTAAGTAGTTGTAATGCTATGCAGGAGCAGCTCGGCTTATACGAGTCTTGCAAACTCTTGCTGGCGAGACTTTTTTCCAACTATGTAAAGTCTTAAACAATAGTTTAGTTTGTTAGCAGTGATCACTGACTGAATTTGTCGACAAAGTTGCTACTACTTGGGATGTAACACTAAGTGTAAAAAACACACATGTTGCATTGCCGGTTAATGTGTTGTTTCTATTGAATGAACTGTTCTAAGGCTGGAGAAGTTACTATATCTGCATTATGCAAATTAATGCTGTTGTATTTTGTCCTGCTGTCCACTTTTCTTATTCTGGCTTGAACATGTCAGGTGGGACTTCATCTTATACCGTTTACCTATCTATGAAGGAGACTCAAATTAATTAATGCTGTTGTATTTTGTCCTGCTGTCCACTTTTCTTATTCTGGCTTGAACATGTCAGGTGGGATTTGAGGTATTGTCATTGTTGTTGATTTGTCAAAGTTTTTTTTGTTTATGCGTTGTTGTAGCGTCCTGACTGGCAACATTCATGAACTTTCCTCTTCTCAGGAGGAGGCTCTACTTATAATATTGATGTTACAGTGATGTGGCTGCATGCTGGCCCTATATGATTGAAAAGGGTCAAATGTAAAGGATAATTTCTCCCACAGCATGTAAAGTTTATGTGCATTGCACTAAAATTCACTTTACAGGTACCATTTACACTTTTCCCCCCAAATGTAGGTACAGCACTGCAACATCTCTGCTTCTATTCAGCTAGCTAGATGGCTAGCTAGTAACATTAGCATTAGCGATTTTTCACTGGCTGCTTCATGAAACACCTTCCTCTGAGTTCTGACTATAGCCATCAGCATTACGCTGCTTCATGAAACACCTTCCTCTAACCGAGTTCTGACTATAGCCATCAGCATTACAAATGCTGATATACAAGTATATATACATATACATGTACATATACTGTATGTGGTTAGCTACATTAAATAGATACTATCTGACATCTCCAATATTATTGAGACAAGGACAAAAGCATAACTTCAATGCTAGCGTTAGCAGCATTTGGCAATCTGTTTAGAACATAATGCCCTGATTGGATGTTAACCGTTGCATCGTTTGTTTCTATCCAGATGCTGAGGTACTGTAGATGAAATGCCTGAAAAGTAGGCTTGTTGAACCAGTGTTGGAGGAAATATCCAGATCACTTACTCAAATACAATTGTTAATACCACACAAAACATGACTTTTGGGTTTTAAGTATATTAAAATTAGTATTAAACACTGTGACATCTCTTTTGTTGTTGTTGTCTTTTATCAGAGTACAGTGTGTGTTGTGTGTTTAGTAACCTATCATGTGTAAAATAATTGTATTTCCCCTTTTTCTTAATGGATTACTCAGTCATTGAACTAGCCAGAAGCCAGCAGGTCAGTTCATTATACATTATTCCACTCTTACAGCACTGCCAGCTCACCACTGAAAGTAGATACTCTGTCATCCTTCAAAATGAGTGAGACACATCAGAGAGGACTGTGCACATCCTATAAGTGTCCTTCTCTGCAGGTCTTCAATGCACATCGAAAGCTCTTGTCTTTCCATCTGGTAAAGTGGGCTATTGTGATTGATTTGTGGGTTTACTCCCTCTTTTTTTCTCTCCATTTAAGTGAAATAATGTATGGAAGCAATCTGGCGGCAGACATTTTGGAAAATCTATTTGAAATCATTTCAGCTGAAGCCATGGCAGTTTGTCTTCTTAGGGGAGAGGAGCAAAGTATAATTGTCTGCAGTCTAGTAAAACACAGTATAACTGCCATCACACTTGACTGAGCTTATAGCCAGCTAGTCCCATGGCCTCTAGAAGATAGAGCAGTTAATGTTCCCTTTTATTTTAGAGGATATGTCACTTGTATCGCAGATTTATACCATGATACAGCAATTTTGTCCAAACAGATGGATAATGGGTGTCACCAGCAAAAAGCCCTGTTTTTATTGAGTTTAGAGCATATTGTTTAGATAGGGACTGTGCTGAACAGCTCTGCCAGCGCTCTCTTTCTTTATCTCTCTAATCTTGCCAGTATTAGATTTGATCATTTTTGTTTGAAGGAGGAAAATGTGGTTGTAATGGCTTCATAATAGCAAACACAGGGGATACAAATCCAGGAACCCTGTTCTGTAGTGCTTCAATAAGCACCGCTGATTTATAGAGGTCTTTATGACAGTAAAAGAAAATGATCTGCTGCAGGTATAAATCAGGTGAGGAGTAGGAAATTGAACTTAGATATCATCTTGTCAGATGCTTAATGCTCTTCCTCCTGTCACATTCGATAGGACCAATTTGGAGAATCCTGCAGAGGTAAAAAGAAGACAATTAACAATGACAGTGTGGTAATAGATGAAGCTATAAAATGAACCTGCTGCCTGCAGGATGCTTTGTATGATTTCCACATGAGGTAGTGGCAGGGGTGTGTTTCTTCTTTTTCCTATTGTTTTTGGTGGATTCCTGGGCATCATCCCTTGGAAATATGTAATACTAGTAAAACAGCAAGAACACAAAAGAAAGTGTCATCTTTTGTGCCTTGGATCTGCTCTATAATTGAATTACGCACATGATGGGGCTTCTTTTTGTTATTGATTCCCACAGAATGTTCCATCCTGTATAAAATTAATCAATATATCAGTTGCCAAGCACAGAAATGATCCATGCTCAGGAACATTAAAAGCACAAACAGAGAGAATACATTCTATTATTGTGTTGGCATCTAATTCATTATATGCAAGTGATACAGCTTTTTAATACTGTGATGAAATCAATATTTTTATCCATACACTCTCTAGCAGGTGTTCTTCAGCTTTACCATATAATTATGGTACAAGAGTGGATTGTTTGCAGTAATGATAGTCCAACTGTATCAGTCCTCAAACAAATGTCACTGCTCAGTCATGTATTGGATTCAGGATAGGACACAGAATGACAATGCTCTCTGATCCCTGAATATCATTCTGGTATAAACTACTGTGCAGTTCCTATTTGACAAATAGAATGAGGGGTGGGGGGTGGAAACTCATCCATCTGGGTGTGTAAGTTTCAAATGACTTGAATTTTAAAAACTAATTTCTTGGAAGCTGATGACCTTTTGTGCAAAGCTGCTCAAGTTAGCCAAGTGGCAATTCAAGTCCAAGCAACTAAAGAGCTACAGTAATAACCAGAGATCCACTGCTTGGGAACCATCATCCCTAGCAGCTCATCAAGCCAAGCTCTAGTATAATCTAATTTGATTTTAATGCTTCTCTGAAGGAGATTGCACTCTTATTACTGTGTAATGATGCCGTTGTCAAGAGCCAATGGTGATCTTTAATATCACAACCATGTTAACTGCTTCTGTGACACTCATCTCAGCATTTTTCCACTTTGTCCCCAGTGCACAATGGCTTATGCTGCATATTTATGACTTGGCTGTTCTTCCTTTTGCATTATACTTCATGTTTGTCAGAAAAATTGTAAATCTTAAAAGAAAAACTTCTTTATTACCTTTGTCTGATAGGGTACTTCTTTCGTATTCAGTACAGTAGATAGAGCATAACGATGAAGGTCTTTGCAGAGATGAGGAGAATTTTGAAGTGCTCACACTCGGGGGCAGCAAATGGAAAAGTGACAAGCCTGGTGCACTTGTCTATTTTACTTATTCTGTGCCTCAGTTTCATATTCTGCCTCGCACCGTGGGGTTATTTTCCTCCAGGGTTCAGAAGGGCACGCTCTTTCATTTCTTCAGAAAATTGTTTCGCAGGATTTCAATCTTTGGCTGCTAGATATGACAAAACACAATATCAAGAACGCTTATGTTTCTTATCTGCCATTTTTTCTGGGTATAAATAAAAGATCAGTATAAATTTAAGTCAAGTGGCCTCAAATGCACATGTGAGAGATGAGTATGAAAAGAACTCTGAACCTTGGGACAGCTCCACTGTACATTTTCATTCCTTGCTCAAAATTACCTTGGCACTGGGGCTTTATATGCCATTTGTCAACCTTGAAAATCAATTAGTGTTTCTGTGATACCAATGCAGATCTTGAACATCTAGACACAAAAACAAAAATCTTTTGTTTTTAAATTATGGAAACAGTATGCCTTTGAATTGCTCATACAATAAATTAAGACAGTCAGTTAAGTGCAAACTGTGATGACAACATCAGCTGAAGGGCCATCCCAAATACTGACACTGCCTAAGTAGGCCTTCAATTTGACACCCAATACAAATCACTATACAACTACAACTACCAGAATAACTGTAGTACTTTTAGAGGCAAAGATATTCAACTACAGCTGAGAACACAATTTTACTTTGGCAACTGTTGTTTTCTCTCTGAGTAACTGCTCTTTCCATCTGTCTGAGATCTTCTTCAAGCATTGCACAGAGAAAAAACAAAACAAAAACAGTTACACTAAGTTGAAAACCTTGCAGGCAAATAATAATTCTACTGACTATTTAAAAAGCAAACTGTCAAGAAATGATTCAGTGGAGTGTAATCAAAAATATTACTCAAACATACATTTTCAAACCACATCAGAGATTTCTGTGATTTATTACTTACAATGATGCACATATGTGCAGCCTATGTATACTGAACAACCTCCCAGCGGTGTGAAAGCATCCAAGCACTGTCCTATTGATGTCCCATTTTTTTTCCCCCCGTTTGGCTCTTGTCAGAGGTCAGCCTCAAACAGCATGCGGTGGAATCAGGCGTTACTGTTGATGTCACATTGATGTATTTCAAGGCTCGGGAGGTCACGTCTCTGTAAACATACATTATCAAAACCCATAGATGTGGGGTGTTGACCTCACCAATAGTTTACGGTGTATCTTCTGGGGAAAAGGGTCATGTGATGGCAGAGAACGACTTTGTAGCCACAATGGCTTTCTTGTTGCAAATGAAGAGGGTCAAGCAATCAAGACTGGTCGGGCTCTGTGTCAGCACCATTATCTTACGCTGTCTGAAATGATCAATGAGCTAAAATAAAATGATCACAAGCTAAGATTGGCCTGCTAATGAAAATGGACCGCTTAAACATGCTCCTTGGTGAGAAGCTGGACAGAGGAGAAAAGGGGCACTGATTTAAAACGCCACAAAACAGGTAACAGTGACATATGGGAGCCATTGTTAGCATGGCTATGTGCAGGGGAGAGGCAGAGATCTATTCATATTTTGATGTTAATGCGGATTCAATTTAAAAATCCAGACTATGGGCTCATATGTACACAAATGTTCTCAAAGGTTTATTTAGTATTAGAACAAGAACTCAGACATTCAGTAAGCATACCGTCACCTCAGACTGAAAACTGTTATGTGCTTTGTCTGCATGCAAATAAACTGCACTGACAATACTGAAGCAGACTTCATAAAAAGAAAAGAAAAAAAGGCACCGAACCAACAAGTCACCTGGCTTTTAGCAATAAATACATTCCATATGTGCATTATTATTATGCTACCATGGCTGTGTAAACATTTTTAGCACCACTGTGCTATAGAGTATCCCGTTTAACACTGTCATGCAAGGCACAGCAGTATAGAAAAATATTTATAAATATATTTCCCATAAATAAAACATTTTTTCCCTGCAAAACATTTTTTTTCTCATGGCAGTTTCCTGCTAACCCAGATATAATAATGTTAGAAATTCATTCAAAACAAGTAAAACATGAAAAAGAAACATGCATATGCAACATCAGAAAAACCGCCAAGTTCATTTAGAAAGATTATTGCTCTCAATAAGGTGTTATAAAAATGAGGTGGACATTTAATCATGATGGATAAGTGGGTTGTCTGGCAGTAACCACCAAATGCTAGTGCTATTCAATTTAATATTTAATTCATTACAATGACTGAACCATAAAAACACTCAAAAGAAAATACTGCAACTTGAAAAAACACATCAACTGCTCCCTTGTTTTTCCAACTCACAGCATTTACGTGTACGTTATCATATTTCTTTGAAGAAAAAATAAACTTACAGCCTGACTTGTTGAAATCACCACCCCACTGTTTTATTCCACTTCCATGGCAGACAAATCTTGCTCTCCATCAGCTTTCTCAGAGGGCAGGTCTTGTGACTCTGGAGTGCTCTCGCCGTTGGACAGAGAAACAGGCTCTGTGGTTGTTAGTGTGCTTTGCTCCTGGGTTTCTGTTTCAGCAGAGACATCGGGAAGTTTGGTTTTCCCTGATGAGTGGACATTGTTTTTCAGTTTAGACTCCAGTGTATCTCAAACATATACAAAAAATTCAACAAGAAAGGAAAAGAAGAAAAATAGATGACTATATATGTGTGTGCAACAAAATTAAAAATTGTATTTCTAAATGTATTTATATTGGTAACATCTGATCACATGCATGACCATTACTTTTTAGAACTAAATGTCCTGTGTGGAAAAACCTGTTTGAGTGTCATGATCACCTAAAACTGATTGGCCGTCATCTACATCAGCAGCAGATGATGATAATAAGGGTTCCTCAGGTGACACCTTAAGTTCACTGCTGACCTCAGGGAGTCTGGGTGCCTGAGGTCTGGTTTTTCTTGCAGGGTTCAAGAAATAACAATAAGCACATCGGAAGGCTGAAACAACACAAACACAACATCATACATACAGTTTGTCAGCTCACAAATACGTTTTCAGACAGACATAGATTAATATACATGAATACGAACCAATGACAAAAAAATGCCTGAGATGCATAAACACTTCAGATTGATGTGTAGCACTGTTTTGCATATTCAATCTTGTGTTTTTTGCTTACAGGGGTCGGTAGTGGCAAAGGCATTTAAGAGCCATATGATATACTACGCTGCCAAATGCTAGAGGGCAAATGAAGGCACAGTGTTTGATGGAGACTGACAAAGAGTGTTGTGTTTCTCCAAGTCTTACCAATGTATTCAAATTCCTCTTTTAATGCCATGCCGTTATGAGACAGACACTGCTGACATATGAGAGCGTATCTATGGCAAAGGAAAGACAACCCAGTGAAGACAGCATACAGTGCGTGAACATGAACAGACATTAGATGACATAAACAGTGTCCACTACGCATACTGAGTAAAAGTGGAAACAATCCACTGTTACTTTTAGGAGATTATCTATGTTTTATTATGTAAAAACCATAAATTTAACCACATTTAGACATTACAGCATTTCGTACTGTGAATACGAAACTACATAATACATAACATTAACTGTAGGAAAACATATTTCAATGTCAGAATGTTCACATACAAGTGTATTACTGAAAAGAGCATGTCTCATTTTAAAAGAAGTTGCATACCTGTTCTGAGGGCCATCTCCAACAAGATACTCAATGACTTTGTCCATAGCACCTCTTTCTCTTGGAAGCACAGGTCTGGCCAGTGGTGGGCCTGGGGGGTGCATCCCTGATAAAGCACAACATCAGTGCCTGCTAGACTCAGTCTGCAGTCTTGACTACAAACTGCAATAAACAGGGCTGCTTACAGTAAACGCTCTGTGAAATAGCGAGCTTCAGATTCACAGTTTACTGCACAAACCATGATGAATTTTACAAAAACCTGGCACTTTTTCTTAATGACTAAACACTGGATCTCACTTGCAAAGCACGTCCAGAATCCCTGCTGTGTTGGTGAGTAGTAATTAATATAATCTAACATCAAGAGCAATCATAGGAAGATGACTGGTCATTTCTGTGAGACTTGGCAGAGTCTCAGTATCCTGCTGGTTATTAATTTACCAACATATGGAAACTCTGTGGTGACTCTTTGTATCAAATTGCTTTTCACTTTCAATTTTCAGCAGAAGCAGGTGATAACATCAAGTCATGTAAACCATTTGTGAGGTGTTCCCAATGCCAAAGGCAATTTCACCAAGCATTAAAAGACATTTAGTGAGATTCCAACACCATTGCCCAGAGAACAAATGCAGGTCTGCCTAATTAATCATAGTTAATGTAATCCTGCTTTGTGCATACCTCACAGTTGGCATTCCACATGGCAATTACAGCATGCAGCTTCCTCTAGGAGCACATTTCCTTAACCATTTACACTTATTTCCATCTTCTATTGAATGCTCATAGTCCAGAAATAATGTATACTGAATATTTAAAACCTCTAGCTTCCACAGATGTCTTACATATACAACTAATGTACTATTCAAAGTTTTTCATCTTATTTGCTGGCTGGGTTTTGAAATCTTTAAAAGCAACCAAAAATACAACACTCAAGCCTCACATTCTCAAGGTAGATATTCTGATTGTATCTTAAGTTAAACACTTATTTGCAAAAGGCTAAGACTATTAGTAAGATATCTGAAAATGCATTCATACAATTACCCATTACAACTACTGTATAACATGTACCATCCTTGCTGACAACACACACCACAGAGCCTTGAGCAACATGGGATACAGAGTCAGGGAAGAGTAAATCACACCTTAATCGACCACATTATGATGTGGTCCCCTTGTGTGCAGGCAACTCACCGACTCCTGGAACAGGTGTTCCAGGGGTCACAGGCTTCCTCATCAAGCTCTGCTGAGCAGCTATAGCCGACAAGCTCCTCTCTGGGGGTCCACCTGGAGCAGAATGGGAAGAGCG